CGGAAGAAATGTCAGAAGGAAGCTGCATCCAGGCTTTTTTTAAAAATTGAAAATGGGCCTGGCGTCGCCCACTTATGGACCAAAAACCATATCTCAGGAAGTACTCCACCGATTTCAATGAAATTCGGTATATAATATCTTGTTAACACCCTGATGACATGCACCGAAGATGGGTGAAATCGGTTCACAACTACGCCTAAAATCTCGATTATCACTTTATCATGCGAGAGTCTGAAATGTTCGGTGACACCCAAACATAGCCCTTCCTTACTTGTTATGTTATGAACTCAATAATCCTTAGGTTTACCGCGAAGTTTGTCATATCCAGAAGAGACCCTTTAAAATACATAATTATACCATATAAATGCTGAGCGCGGCGAGCTGAGTTGATTTCGCCAGGTCCATCTAAGCGTCCGTTTGTATATACCCAAACAGTCCTAAAATTTTAGAGATATCCTCTGAAATTTCGCGTATATTATTTTCTCCTCAAAAAGCTGCTCATTTGTTCGAATCGCCAATATCGGACCACTATAGCATATAGCTGCCATACAAACTGACCGATCAAAATTAAGTAATTGTACAGAAAACTTTTTGTTTGATAAGATATTATAACGAAATTTGGCACGTATTATCTGCCAAAGCAATGGTACAATATTTGAAGATATTGTTTAGATCGGACTACTAGATCAGGTGGCTGCCGTACAAACGCAACGATCACAACCAAGTTCTCATATAGGAACTCTTTTGTTTATGCTTCGATGCAACCGAATTTAACTATTTTTCCATTTTTATAATCTTTTAATTCATTATTTTGCACAAAGTTTTTACTATTTCTAGTTTAGTTACACGATTTTGCTAGTAAACTCCTTTTATCATTACAAGCACCCTCTCTTCTTAAACTTTCTCTTCTCATTGTTTCACTCATTTCACTCTTTTCATTAATTTTGTTCATTATTCAGCAGGAAACTTCGTGCGCATACTTTTATATGAAGCAGTAACATTTTCCTCCTCAAAAATGCAACTCTGCGCACTTTCAAATCTTATCTTCATTTCATAACTCTTCTTGTTGCAAGCACTGCAAGGTAACTCGAAAAACTTTCTGAAATTAAATTCAAATAATTTTTCAGATTTTTTTCGCTTTGCTGCTTTTTTCGTTGTGGCAAGCGTATACATTGTGGAAAATTGCACTAATTAATTGCAAGCAAAGTTGCATAAAAGTTTTCTTCATAATTTTTTGGTTATTATCTGTATGCAACTACCAACTTGCAACCGGCAACTGGCAACTGGTAGCTTGCAACTAAGCTAATACGTACTTTCGCTTTAATTAGATGGCACAAACAATGGCCGAGTGAAAAAGTGCAGACGCACGTGCCACCGAGCGAGCTGCCAGCAGTTATCTGCGAGAGTTAGCAGCGTGCGTGCTTCCTAAGTGCAGTTGAATGCAGTGCGAGCAGCGCTGATATGAGCATACGACTGCGAACATATGACGGCAATTCAAGGCAAAATGAAAGCGAAGAAGTTTTACTGCAAATTGGGCCAAACGCCCATTAGTAGACTACATTGACGCAGCTAAATGACAGAGCACGAGCTGAGCGTGTGTGAGGAGAGACAAAGCGATGGCCGACCAAACAAATATTAGAACCACAAAGCTACGTGGTGGCTAATCGGCACTAAAAAGGAGTTGCTGAATTGCAGAAA